CACGCCAACACGGGTCACCCCGTTGGATCTAGCCGTAGGGGTGCTCTCTGGAAGCGCAGCAGCAGCACTCAGTCGGGGACCACGGGGCAGTGGTCGGGGAAGGAGAAAGGACCGAGGTTTCGTGGGCCTCCTCAGCTGGCCGTCCTGCTCTCCTGCCCTGCCCATGCCGTGGCTTCCAGTCCTTGCAATGCTGTCCCGCAGTCTCTCCTCTGCTGTGCAGCCTTCACAAGCTTCCTCCCGCTGCCACATTCTTCTGTTGCCTCAGTTGCCTTCTTCACCTTACACTCACCGGCATGTCTTAGTATCACAACTGTCTCTGTTTCCTCTCTCACATTTCTTTATTCCGGCTCCAGAATAAAGAGAAGGCTCCGGGGAGACCTTATTGTGGCCTTTCAATATATAAAGGGGGCTTATACGCAAGACTTTTTACCAAGGCCTGTGGTGACAGGACAAGGGACAAGTTTTAAACTAAAAGAGAGTATGTTCAGATTGGACATAAGGAATAAATTTTTTACCGTGAGAGTGTTGAGGCACTGGAGCAGGTTGCCCAGAGAAGTTGTGGATGCCCCATCCCTGCAAGTGTTCGAGGTCAGGTTGGACGGGGCTCTGAGCAACCCGATCTAGTGAAAGGTGTCCCTGCCCACGGCAGGGGGGTTGGAACTAGATGATCTTTAAGGTCCCTTCCAACCCAAACCATTCTATGGTTCTATGATTCCCAAATTCCAGCGCCTGACATGTTCCCAAACTGCTCTATAAATGAGGAACGGTGGCTGTTTTAATGAAAGAAAACTTGGAGCACACGGGGAAAAAAAAAAAAGTTGGATTTACTAAAAGGTAAAAAAGAAGCTTAGATTTTCATGAGACTTTCATGCAGTTGAGTCACATCATTTGGAAGGAGTGAGTCAACCAAGGGGACATGACACACCTATTTTTGGCTCTGGATGCAAAGGTGTGCAGAACCTGAACTAATACTTGTCTCTGTGCTTAAATACTGACATGAATAGCGTTAAATGCCAGCATTTTCCACAGTTATTTAAAGCAGAAGAAACAAAAGACTTTTTTATGCTTTGGTGCCCTTGAACAAACTTACCACTTTTCCTTCTAAGCTGATACGGTAGGAAAACAGTTCTGTTGTCCCCACTGTGCTTGCTGAATTGTTTTCTGATTTGTTCCCAGTCCCTTTTACGCAGCTCTGTCTAGTAATTGTTATGCAGACCTTATACCCAAATGTTGCTTCATTGAGATAAGTGTCATCGACCAGGAGAACTAGCCATTGGAAGAGAGAAATTAAGTTGTGTCAATAAGAAAATGTGTTCCATGAGATGGAAAAACAAGAGGAAGGATCAGTGAACTACATACCCACAGAGTATGTACACCCGCTATAGTCAGCTGGAGGAGGAGAAAGCCTTTGCTAAAGTCTTTCACAGAGGCTGCGAGGGAGCACAGCTTAAAATCTTGAAAAATAGATTTTAAGGAGCAAGTGGTAAATGGGAAAAATGTGGTAGCGATTGTGTTCAGGCTGTTCTTCACAAGCTGGATATCTGGTACTCGTGATGTATACCTGGCACATAATCACAGGTAGGGGAGGTGGAACCTGGGATCAAATTGTCAGTAAGGCAGCTGTAGGAGCACAGCACAGAGGAGTATTTACATGCCGATGCAAAAGAAGATGCTGGTCCTAGGGCAGGACAACATCAACCTCACAGAGGGTGGAGGCACAAAGGAAGTGGGTGTGAAAAAGGAAGAGGACCTATAGTTGTTTGGGAATGTGTTTTTGCTGTCTCTCAGAAAAAGTATTTCCCTATCTTTGGAGTGGCGTGGCTGAAGGAAATGGAAATGAAGCCGGTCACTCACTGGGGTAAGGGAAAGCTGGGAAGATGGCCAGGGACGCATTGCTAAAAGCTTTGAAACATAATACTCATAGAGGTGAGCATCATCAGAATAACAGCGATAAAAGGCTGGAGGATGACAGCAGGATTGTTTGTTGTGAATAATGTATAGTAGTTTAATTCATACCAAAATAATTTATAATAAGGATGTTAATCATAGTTTAAATCGCTGAGCAAATTTGAATTAAGTAAGCGATGTTAATCATATTTTGTAGGCATACTTTGTAAGGGTTTGCTTCACTAAAGGAATGATTGATTCTCATTGTTTGCTGAAAACTCAGAAATCTTAAACTAAGAGTAATCTTTTCACAAAATAACCCTTTTTTTGTTAGCGAGGAGAATACACTTCATATACACACAAGTAATTCTATAAGTTAACATTTATTTATTTATTTAACCCACATAAATTTTCAGCGTCATGATTTTGTAAACTGTTGAATTACACTTCCTATTTATTAAATAATTCCTTTGTTTATTCCAGACTTGACAAGATGTTTGTGGAATTGGAACAGTTGAAAAAACTAGAATTTTTGATTTGTCTTGTAAGTGAAATATGATGAATAGATCTAAGAAATGCTTTATGTTTAAAGTTGAGATATTTATTAAACAAAGCCTAAGAAACTGAGATGATAATTGTAATAAATCTCACACCTAATGATTATTCAGATCGGAAGGGGAAACTAAGCTTTCTGGCTTTAATATTGTCTAAGTTTGTGGTTGATTTTCTTTAAGACCTTGGCAACAGGTATACTGTGCTTCCAATTTATTTTTTAATATAAGCCAAATTGTTTTTATATGTTACTGTAAATCTGGGCTTTAAAATGGATGGCCATCTTTTCATGTTTAATTTAAATAGGTTTAACTGGGGAAAAAATTACACTCAAATGTAAAAAAAAAAAAATTCTAGTTAAAATAACAGAACCACAAAGAAAATACTTATTAACGACTTGGTTGGCTGCTGTTGCTTTCACACCGTTCCCTTCCGAGACTCTCTCCCATTTCAAGTGCTCCAGGTCCTCCGATACGTTGACAAATAGCATGCAGCCTTCTAGTTCCCAAACCGAACTGTCTTGTTATTAATATAAAGTCTTACAGAAGCCACAGACACTGGCTTCTTGATAGCTCCCGAAGTTCTTCCTTCCTCTCCTCCCCCTTTGAAATGCTGTGCAGAGTCCTCTCTCGCTTTCCTTTTAGCAGTTCATACCGTGTCACCTGCAGCAGTCTGTGGTGGTTTGCCGTGGTTCCCGGGGTACGATCCATCACAGGTTTGTGGCCATCAGCTGCATTCAGCTGTGGCTCCTCAGGTCTCACAGACTGTGAAGAATACTGGTCTTCAAACCGGTTTCCCTTTTCTTGTTTGTGTTGATGGAGAATTGCCTTCTGCTCACTGCAGTTCTCCTGGTTGCATTGGAAGGTGTCCTGTTGGTTCCCTGTAGACTTCTATGCCTCATCTCCTTTGGGACTTTGAAGTGAGGTGAGGGTTGAGGCTTTGTCAGTACTCTTTCTGTTTTGTCATGGCCCTGTCTGTTCAGATGTATTCAGATGTATTAGCTGGTTACTGCTACTACTTTGCCGTTACCTCCAGTTTTGTCTTGGATTTATACCCACCTCTTGCCCTGCGCTGTTTTGCTGAAACTGCTGTGCTTGGTGGTTACTGATGTAGCTATTTCATGGTTATATACCGACGTTGCTCATCTGTGCATAGTGTTTTGCGTCTGTTGCTGCAGAAGGCACCCTAGCTGAGAAACCTCTATCCACCTTGTGGTATTAGTCTTTAAATCTGTTTGGATCAGTGATTACTCCTCTTTAAACAAAACCATGTATTGGACACATAATTTGTATTTCACACAGAGGAGCAGGAACACTTACTCCTTACCATAAGGTGGAATGAAAAATGTATAATTTTAGTCAGTATCATCCCATGCTGTTTGAAATGTGGAGTCCCCCACACAGTAATAATCTTGTCATCTACATTCTTGATGACTGAGAGTCTTCCTTGTGCCTGGGTTCAGTTTTCACATCCCAAGTTTAGCTGATACCGTTATGGACAGATGTGGCTAGTAAATGATGGCCAGCTGCGTAGATGTCTTAATGTAGCTCAGGATGACAGTTAATTTTTGATCTCACAGGCAATGAACACTTTGCACCAGACACATGAGGTCATTTTTTTGTCGGTCCTTTTCCTTGCTCTTGCTCCACTCCACTCTGCTCCTGGAATATGGACCTGGAGCCTTACTGTGCGGAAGGTAAAACACTTCACAGTCTTAAACGAGTTATATTCACAATCTTAGACAAGTTACCTCTTCCCTAGAAGGTAAGGAAATGTTATTTTTACTAATACCTGACTGGGGAACAGAGACTAAGATCTAGTTGCACCAGTCAACAGATGGGAGATGCTTAAACATTAGTGTCTCTGGCACTACGCAGCTTATGCAAGGTACCACTGGCAGAGCAGGGAAATGAAGCCGGTACTCCAGAGCCTGGAGGAAGCATCCTAAAACACTCTGTCATTTGTGGATATCAATGTTATTATTAGTGTATCAATCTGTGCCTTTTCTGTGTGTGAGACTTGTAGCATTTATCAACGGTGGGGAGCTGAGTCCCAGAGCAGCGACACTGACATTTGCCCATCAGTAGGTACTGCTAAATGCCTTGATTGATTTCTTATCTAAACTGCGAGCAGATCCTAATGTAGCTGAGCACTGGTGGATGGTGTACTTACTGATAGGGCTGTAAGCAGGTCTGTGTGTTCAAATGTATTTACGTGTGACTACTGTAGTGTGTGTTGGCACTTGGAATAATGTGCTTCTGTCTTCATTGGAGAACCTGGGACTGAATCCTACTCCCCCTTTTTATTGAATAAATAAAGAGAAGACATGGGTGGTGAAAGTCAGGCTTCATGTAGTGTCCCTAAATACCTGTTGAGTGCAGGAACTCCCTCTCTCTCCTGTATTTTGGTCCCAATTTAGCCAGAAGAAATTGATTATCTAGGAATGAGCAAACTTGGAGAAACATTATCTGGAGAAGCAGGCCTTCTTAGGACTTCAGGCTTGAAATGGGGATGCATCTGCTAGATTAATGCTAACAGCACAACACTATTTTTAAAAAATATGTGTCTCACAATACATTTATCTTTGCAAGTAATGTTACATTATACTTTGCTCTAGTATGCAGGTGCAAATGAAGATACGTCACTATTTCAGATCAAGGCTTTGTTGGCTTCAATACTGCATTATCATCTACCCCATCTGTGATTCTTTGTCTCCTGAGTCATCATGATGGCTACACCAAAATCAGTGGTAGTTTCCAATAATCCTCCTTTTATTCACTTTCTCTAAGCACAAAAAGAAGCTCTTTTGCTTACTCTGACTCTAAATCCATTTACTGGCTTCTTTACTGGGTGGGTGGCAAAGAAGCCATTTTCTGGTCTTGACACTCCTTTTACTCATGCACCTTATAAGTCAAATTATATCCTGGTCTCAGGACATACAGGGCAAATGTGGGATGCGAGTGCATTCATGCTGAGAAGCCAAGGGATTCTAAAGGCTTTCGATCCCCAGGTCCCGCTGAGATTTACGTGGGACATGGGACTTCTAGATGCCTCTGAAGTGCCTGACCTAACACTTTCAACGCTGGGTAAGTCTTACCCGGCTTTTCAGAATTTACCAATGTTTTCAGAACCCTCTGGCTTTTCAGGTGAGACATTTCAGAATTGTCCCATGGCTTCAGTGGTTTTTTTTTCTGCCAGACCTGGCAAGACTGAGAGCGATGTCTGCCTGCATTTGACTGAAAGGCAGTTTCCTAGATTGCCCAGGTGGTGGCAGATTTGGAGGATATTAAATCAGTCTCTTCAACCTGTTTTGCGATGGAACTGCATTGTTTCCTACGTGCGTTAAAGATGCCCTCTTCTGAAATTGTTACTCTTTCATACCTCTGAAGCCATTTAAATGGCTTCCATTTAAAATGGAAAATCTCTGCTTTCGAGTATAATTAGTCCTTAACACAAGTGTTATCTGCTGTAACATTTCTTGTTAAATTTCTGCTAAATCCAAGTTTAATGACTAGACTTGTTGGGGAAAGGCTTTGTATTAATTTGTCTACTTAGACTAATGAAGTGCTACTGATTTACACAGTATGTGTATGGAATTAACTCCTGCATCTGTTGTACCGTGTAGAAAACCCAGAGATTGGCTGTCCCAAAGTTTCTGGTGGGTCAGGACTTGCTCCTAGAAGGGAGAATCTGTCCATTGGTGCTGGGAACGCTCCCTGCGGCTTTTAAATGAGAACCCCCCACGTAGCCACAAAATCTTCCTGCCTCACTCCTTGTTTCTTGAAGGCAGAACTTCCATCTTGCTGCATTTTCACCCTCTTCCTGCTACTAAAGTTTATTCAAGCCTGCGAGGTTCTGATATCCTTTATTTATTGGTATTTCCATAGATTATAGGGAGGGTACCAGCAAATTAAGTGCCACAGGGCTTTGGGGGGGTTGGGTGGGCAGAAAGGATCACTGTGATAGTTTGACTTCTCAATACATGCCAAGGAACTTCTTTGTATTAGTTCTTTCTTCAAACCCAGTAGCTAATCTGTTACTGCTGTAGTAATTGCCCGAGTAACAAATACGGGGTGAATATTTTGAGTATCTTTAATTTTATGCAGTGTTCCCTAGTTCATGCTTCTGTGGGTTATGTTAGCCATTTCACCCCAGCATCACCATTGAAGCTTCTGTTCTGCCGATATTCACCATGGCTTTTGATGTCTTTTCCTGAGTCTGTGCTTCCCATGATAGGTCCTCCTATCCTGTAAGTGTGGTTTACAATCACCAAAAATCAAATCCTTTACATTTGAGAAATTCACTTCATTATTTGTCCTTGAAAAACAAGGAAGTCCTCAAAACCAGGGAGCCTGCCAAACTCCAAGATGCATCTACAATATACTACCAAAACCGAAATGATGGAGTAAAAATAAATGTGGTGAATCATGCTTTAATCTTAAACTCCTTTGATGCTTTACCAATTATTCGTACCTTACAATTTTTCAAGTGTTTTTAAGTAGCGTTCTTGGCATCCTCAGTTATTCAAATAGCCATACTGTGTATAGCCATGCTTTGTGTAATTTCTTAGTTTCCTTGGGAATGTGGTGAGCCTTTTTTGTCCTGGATGATTTTGGAAAGCTGAAATTTGGGCCGTATTGAATTACAAAATGGCAAAAACATGCAATAAATCATGCTAGAGTTTATTATCTATGAAAATACTTTCCATTTGAGGGAATTGCGTTAATGCTACTCTAGACTGCAAGCTGTTTGTGGCAGGAAACACCATTTCATTTTGTATTTGTGCAATACCAAAGTACAGTCATGTCTTGGTCCAGTACAAGGTCACCAAGAAGCTATTGTAGTATAAATATAGTACAATAGTAGATCTCCACCTGCTGTTTTTTTCGTACATTACAGCTAAAATTAGACTGAAACACTGAATTTTAAGAGGAAAAAATTATTTTGGCCATAACTTCTGCTTCTTCATTTAAGGAAAGAAAGGACTGTACATAATACTCAAGCTGCTAAATTTGTTATCCTCTGGTGACCTGACAGATGCCACTGAGATCCTGGGCACCTGCACATTCCAAACAGCTCTGCACCACTGATACGGAAAAGCAACCAGTTTGGCTTTTCATCAGGGAAGATAATGAGTTGCAACACAGTTTTGTCTCTGTTCTCTATTTAAGCTCTGTGTAAGCAAAGAGCAAACGCACAGGTCTTTCACTTGCTGTTGTTTTAAGCTTTATGTGGGTAGAAATATAACAGCTTGTAGGTTACAGCAGGAGAGTCTGTGGTAGTTGTACTTGGAGGATTATTATGGCCATAATTATTTGCAGGTCACTCTTGGATCGGTTCTCTGACAGGTCAGTCATGATCTCTACTTACACACTGTCTGCTTTATTTCTCCCATAGTAGGTGTTCACCTTTCAGAAAGAAAGACGGAGGAACTGTAAGGGAAGAAAAGGCTCCTCTGGAGGAAAGAAGGATTGAGAGCAAGATTTAGGCTTCCTCTAAACGTCTGCCTTGAGAGTAAGGTGAACTGGTGCCTCCTGGGAGAATTCCCTAATTTTTTCACTGAAGATGAGAGGAGTAAGAGATGTGGTAGGAAGAGAGTGGCATTTAACTCTTGTGGCCTTTGCAAACAAATACAATGATATTTTATGTTTTAACTTAATTTTTGAAGTTATGCAATTATATTTGATTCTCAGGTATAATTACAAGGAGAGTTTTTACAGCAAGTATTTCTTTTTCTAAAAACAGTTTTAACAAAACTGAAATACTTTTTTGGAGTATATCAGCTTTGACAGACTTTAACCACCTTTTGGAAAGGAACAGCCGTCGAAAGCAAACAGAATATTCTGTTACAACATGTGGGTGAAGAATATTTTGTTTCCAATTCGAATGGAAAGATGCAGCCCACCTTGTTCACTGAGCTCTTCATCTGTGTGCAGATGGTATGGAAATGAAGGTCAGTGAAAAAGACCTGAGGATATCCCTGGATAAAACGGAGAAGCAGAACTATGGGGCGATTTAAGCTGTGGAAAAGGCCAGCTTGTGGAAAAACTGTGGGTGAAGCTTAGTACCCAGAGAACCCAGGGAAGGAAGGAGTAGAGCCAGAGTCACTTCTGCCCTTCTCTGCTCCCAGCCTGCAGCATTACATTTGCAGCACGCGCAAGTCCATAAAACACCACCCATCCAGGCAAGCTTTGGAGGAAGCATGTGCTGTTAGGGAGGTGTGACTAATTCATGGAGCTTGCGGGAAGGGTGCGGAGCACAGCACCCACACAGGGCGGTGATGCCTTCCGGCACGTTTCCTCACCCACGGCTCCTGCTTGCCAGTGAGGGAGCCCGTGGGCAAGGGAGAGGAGCGGGGGTGCCCTGAGGAGAGGCGCTGCTGGGTGGTTAGTTCCTGAAGCTCCATGTGAAAGGGTGACCACCACGTCCATCTGTCTGTTGTTTCCGAGCTCTTGAGTTTCAGGGCCCTCTCTTTGCCGCGGTAGCTGCTGCGTGTTCTCCGTTGCGACAGGGCAGGTCTTCCACTTTGCCTTCCTTTCTCACCTTGCCGAGCTGCACCCTGCCAGGCACGAAAGCCTGTGGAGAAAAGCTAGCCCATCTACCAGGGCAACACTGTCCACCCTCAAAGGGAGCGCGGAGCCTCGCTTATGCTCTGTGTAGGTGACGCCTAAAACAGTCCCCCTCTCACAGCGACCTCCAGCCCCCCTCTCACAGCGACCTCACGGCGAGGGCGGGATGAACCCAACAAGTGAACGTGGCCAGAGTGCAAAGTAATGGAACCACGAAGTCACCAGAGAGCACTCGACTCCCACCATGGGACAATGAAGGAAAAGCCCCCGCC